ATCACTGACTGTCAATGGATTAAAAACAATGAACAACGACCTCTGTACTAATTCTCTTGAACCTGCAATAATATAACGTCCTATGTCCCTATATCATGTATGATCCTTACCTGAGATAAAAGCACTCATGTCCCATCACCGCGCGACCCAGAGTGTTTACACAGTTGAAATATTAGTTGAACACTGACTTTGCCAGTCCTCAGACTGTGGAACTTAGGCAAGCCCCTATTGCCTTACACATCTCTCTCCATGACGGTGAGAAAAAACATTTTTACATTAAGCAGTAAATGAACCAAGAACATCTGAACTAACTTGAACATTAACACACATAACTTTACTATCACAAAAACTTAAAGATCTTACTGCAAAAACACATAAATCAACTCTCAATAAACAATTACCCATAATGCACCCAGCTGCTAGCGCTGACTGCCAGGTTATATCTTTTATTGTCTACGGTCAATACAATATATTTATCCACTAACCTGCAGCAGTCTTATGTCTTCTCATTTGTGTCTTTGCCTACTTAGATTATATACTCGAGTTTACATTTTTTAAATGAATTTGACTAATAAAAATTGTGCATTGGTTCCAGTGTTTTTAAATAATTGTATGTAGCCTATTGTTTCCAAACGGAAGTGCGTCGCGAAGCTCTTCAAGTAGTCCAATGCTTGCCTTGCTCTGTTCTGTGATGCGCGTTCGTGACTCTCTCCTGTTCTAACTCGTTCATCAAAATGAACAAATCTTTTTTCGAGTCATTTGGTTCATTCAACGAACGAAATGAATGAATTGACTCAGAAAAAACATTCGTTCATTTTGATATATATATATATATATATATATATATATATATATATATATATATATTGAGGAATTGCCCTTTTTTAAATGTCAGTTCTATATTCACTTTTCAGTTGCACTATGATATTGTGTTTTTATGTATTTTCGAAAAAAATAATAGATAGGAGGACAAACAAATTAGCATAAAATCATTGTCCTATACAGAAAACCTCCTGCTTTTTCTCCCACCCTAAGCTGAAATGAGTGAAATGAGATCTATCCCTCTTTTTCCATGTAATGTGACCGAACCAGTGAATTGTCTTATATTCTGTATTCTGCTTTGGTAGAGTAAAATGGGAGAGACGGGGAGCAAGGTGGTCCTGAAGGAGACATCTGTGGATGGAGTCCAGCCCCAGGTAATTTCCATAAAGATTTCAGTTTCACAGCCCAAGCATATTTTACTCTGCAGAGAAATTGTGCTTGGCTGAATACAAACACAAATCCTTCTCAAAGTAAACAGCAAAGACTAAACAATTAGATTGTGGCTTCTCTTGTTGAGTCACAAGCTACATACTAATCCATTGATGCATCATTGTTTAGTTCATGACCATCTGTGCTTATATTTTCATTCGAATGTGTGTGTCTGAGGCTCACAGTGTGTTTCACGGTCAACCCATTTGCAATCCCTTTTGATTTTCTCAAACTCATTAGATGTGATGCAGCAGTGGTTGGATCAAGTTGCATACACTCTTAGAAAAAAGGGTTCTATGTAGCATAGGGTTCTTTACTCAACTCCAAAGGACATTTTATGCTAAAAAAGGCATAATGACAAGAAAGAACACTTTTGGCACAAAGGTTCTTTAAAGGCTATATTATTCGTTCATATATTACATTGTTCTGCAACATTTTGTAGTTGTTATTAAATTATTGTTTATTAAACTCTTGTTTTAATCATGCTGATTTTTGGAGGATAAAAACTGAAATGGCACTCTTCGTGTGATATTGATTAATTACATTTTTTAACCACCATATCTTGAATTTTGTGATCATTCACATGCATTGCATTTTAGGGGTTCCAAATATGTAGCGCTTTAGAACCTTTTAAGGTTCTATATTATTCCTCAGAATATGAATGTTCATGTTTTACATTGATTGATTGATTGATTCAACCTTTATTAATCCCGGTAGGGAAACTGGTTTGCAACCGTACAACCATTAAACACAGTACACAATTAACAGACAAATAAATAAATAAATATGCATTAGGAGAATGATAAAAACCTGATTATAAGACACAATGTAGAGAAATGTTTAATTTCACAGTTCAAAATAATCAAATACTATTACATACTATATAATGTACAAGAACTATTTTATTTTTTCTTTTGCCTTAACCGGAACACTGGGAGATTTGCATGGTAAACCTCATGGGACTACCCTCTTTATACTGTCTACTGCATTTGTTCAGCACATTTAAAGTCCCTGTGAAGTCAAAATTATGTATATGAGTTTGTCACATGAAAAAAAATTGTTATTATAATGTGATGGTGAAATTACAGTAGGTGATATACTGCTTTCGGGATGGGAGGATGAAGGAAGGCCGAGGCAGGAGATAGTCGGTTCGGCCCCAAGTAACAATCAGTTGTCTCCGACGAAACTATCCCATGTAAAATGATCATTACAGAGGTGGGTGTTGGTGGTGAGCTCTCCGTCAAGGTTTGCTCTTCACAAAATGAATCCACCTCTTCTTGATGCGTTTTTAGGAAATTTAAATAAAGACACCGATCTGATTTGTACATGATCGCATCCAGGTAACAGCTTACGCATTTCCGTGTCGAAGGCATAGCTAGCTAGCAAACTGTAGGTAGTAACTAATAGTACTGACAGTAACCCCCCACTTTCTCACAACTGCGGAACGGCGGCGGAGTCAATAGATTTCCATTAAAGTCAATGTGTGCATTTTCACTTACTGCGGAATGGCTGCGTTCCGACTCCGTCCCAGCTCCGGCGACCGCAGCCTTCCGGAGAAGATACACAGAGTTTCTATTTTTGCCGAATGCCGGAGAGTTCCGCAGGAAGTCGAGCACAGAAACTAAATAAAATATCCGGTAATTTCCAAAATAAAAATATAGTTTTGCGCTTTTCCAACAAGAACATTAGTTGCAACGCATTCTCACCCCAAGGCGTCACCTTTGACCATGCTTCAATATTTGACGCTTTAGGCGCCCTTTAGCATCAGTTACATGACGCGATCCTACGGCGTCATCTAACTGACGCTAAAGGCCGCCTAAAGCGTCAAATATTGAAGCATGGTCAAAATGCTTCCCAAGGCGTCAGTTAAGTGGGGGTGAGAATGGGCTGATAGTTAACTTTATTTTACACAGCCTACTACTTTCCCAATACATTCATAAAGAACCCCAAATAAACATTTAGCATTTTATAAGTTGATTATTGTGATTATAGTACAATATTTATAATTAAATATAATCTCCACAAAAAAGGGAGATCAGCAGGTCAGTATTCCTCTGGATGGAAACAAACTGTTGCTGGTTTTGTGGTTCTGTTCATAGGATCCTGTTATATCGCGCTATCAAACGTAAATTCGCAAGTTATCGTGTGTCCTCGTGACTTCAGCTGTCAGTCATGGCTGCAGCCATTCTGCAGCAGAGCTGATCCGCAGCCATTTCTGCAGCACCAAACTGATCCAAAAGTTGTTGTGCTGATGCCGCAGTGGCCTCAGTGCGTCATCAAGTAGGGGCGTGTCCTTGAGCTCATGGGCTCCAGTGCATCATCGAGCCCCGTTTAGCCCCGCCCAAAAAAAAAAAAAACAGGAAAAATAGCAATGGTGAAAAACTGTTTAACGTTCTAACTCCACAATTCAGTACTTCACAGTCTTTGTAAAGTTTTAGCAATACATTTCTAACATGTATAATGTGTTTAGAATTTTTTTTTTTTTAATTGCCTATACAAGGACTTTAAGCACATTGTTCAGGCCCTGTTTTCTCTGTAATTTCATAATTAAAGAATGAGGTCCTAATCCTATGAGGTTTTTATTTTATTTGTATCTATTTTATTATATTAAACAATTCTCATTTTATTGAGAAATTGCCCAATGTGAAAAGGTTTTTTTTTTTTTTTTTGTAACTTTGGATAAAGTAGTTGTATTTATTTTTTTATTTTTATTTCATTTTGTTTTGTTTTATTATTTTATTTATTTTTATTTATAAGAGGCATTTCACATAGGATTTAATAATAACTTTTTTTATGAAAGCATTTGATCTATTATATATATATATATATATATATATATATATATATATATATATATATATATGTTGTTTAGAGAAATTGCCCATATGGCAAAGGTAGTATTTTTTTTTTTTTTTTTTTTTTTGTAAATGTCAGTGCTATACTCAAACTCAAGTAATCTCACATCTGAGGATTTATACGTGATGATGGTTTATTTCAAACCCTGCTGCTCCTGTTAATCCCAATGTTTAGCTCCAGGTCAGATGGTCCAATCACAGACTGCTATAAGAGTCACATGCCAGGGTCTTTAGATGTGTGGAGTACAGTAGTGTAGATTTAGCACCTACTAACGGCCTGATAAGATTGGTGTTAGAGAATATCTGCCAAAAGAGGTGTCTAGTGAGAGTCTAGATGAGTCTACCAAAAGATTAATCTATGTACATTATATGTGACCCAAATGTTGTGCATTCAAAAAACAGGACATATATCCTTGTGTCCTTTATATAACATATCCTGCAGTCCCCTTGGCCATGTCTTCTTATTGACATTCACTTTATAAGATTAAATGCTCTTGCGAGATGAAGTCTGACATCTCTTGTCATCTGTAGTCTTGAGACATGGAACAATTCTCATAAGATTTGAAGTTTTATTCTCCCTACGTGGGAAGTCTGGTTGTTTGGAGCAGGGAACGCCACACAAGCACTGAAAGCAGGAAACAGCAGCCAAGTGAACTGATCTGCGGGAATTAAGATAAAGAACCGCCCTGGTCTGATGGGGTTTAGAGGGGTAAATCTTGGGATTATGATGTCAGGTCAGGCGCTGTGGTGGAAGAGGAAATTTAATTGTCAAAGGGAATCAGACGGCCAGGATTATGCCACGGTTAGTGTGGAGATAGAGTCAGACTCAGGTCTATTTACCCAGTGCTACCTCGGATGTAATTGCCATGGAATGGGGTTCTCCACTTTAGAAGGGGCGGAATTCCATACAAAATCTTCACACTTTCGGATCGGGACAACTAAATGAAACAGAACTGTATTTATAGGCACAATAGAACAAATGTAGCTTGTGGTGAGTGTTATATTATTTATTCTTGTTGTAAAGAGTGTTGGTCAACCACTACTTGCAGGTTTTACATCTTAATTTGTTCTCCTTGTCTGTCTTTCAATTTTATTATTATTGTTTGGATTTTTTTTTTTATCTCACGGTCATAAATTATAATATTGTGAATGACTCACAGCATGAAGAATGGAGCTGTCTCAGAGGCACACTGTGCTTCATTTTCTAATTGATTGTGGAATTTTGATTGATACTTGTCTTACAGATTTGTAAAGCATTTTAAAATGATTCATTCTTATGTTGGCAAAGCTGATTTTCAGCAGCCATTACTTCCGTCTTCAGAGTCACACGATCCTTTAGAACTGATTTAATGCTCAGATATTATTGGTGCTCAATTATTATTAATAATTCTTCTTATTATTATCATTAATGTTGATTTTTATTTTTTTATTTTTTGCTCCTAAATATTTTTGCGAAAACTGTGATAATTTATTTCCGGGTTCTTTGATGAATGGAAGGTTTAAAAGAATAGCATTTACTAGTTTTTGTTTTCTTAAATTTTTAAAGCCAGACCCAGCAATTGCCATTGACGGTTTAACCAAAACCAGAAAAATGAAGGTGAAGTGGACTCAACTGGGCCTGGTCTTTTTCTTACTGCTGTCCATCATCATGACTGCTTGCTTCATTTGGCAGTACCAGCTGCCCAAGTTAGTGACAGGTGAGTGATTTGTCCACAGGTCATATGCAATACTTCTTCTGTATAAATGAGTCCATGAGTCACACTTTTAAACTTTGAAAAAAAAAAAAATCTCTTTCATATTTTTTATAGATACTTACTACTAAATATTTATAATTACAAAGCAATATGGGTAACACTTTAGTTTAGCATGCATATTAGGATATTGGCTATTTATTAGTACCTAAAACACATGATAATGCCTTATTCTGCATCACCAGTATTCTAGTACAGTACATCCCTTAAAGGACAACTCCGGCGTAAAGTGAACCTTTGCTCTAATAACACATTGGTACCTAGTCGACCGTTCTCTGAGATTTGTTTTCATGATAATCGAATGTAAAGAGTTTTATCTCTAAAAACCGTTTAGCATATAATGCTACTATATAGGGCATAGAGTGATGAAAAATAAAAATCGCCGGTTAATACCACTAACAAGGCTCAAAATAGCCCCACACTAACACGGTAACATAATGAGGGTCCCTGCATGCAAACCGAAGCATTGAGAACTTTGTTAGTGTACAGACCGTTTAATAAGAAGATATTTTATAAAGACAGTGCACTTCACATATACAAGCAGGAGCCATCTTTGGAAAACAGTCTCGACCGGTCAAACCACAAACGCCGTTCATACAGTTCAGCTCACTTGGCGATTTTCATTACTCTATGCGAGCCCAGAAAAAATAGACCTAGTCTAGTTTTGTCGTCCCTTTGTAGTCCTATTGTTTCATTGGTTCTGAAAATACAACATAAAAATCCAAACCAACCGAGAACAAAGAGCAGTTCACTTTCTCTCGTTTTATATATATGTATAACTGTGTGCTTTTTCTTAAGATGATAATGGTGGGGGAAGATCCAAATCTTTGCGAATGTGCCCTCGGTTCCCGGAGCCCACACTTCTGGAACACCCCATCCCCAGTTTGAAGGAGGCGCTTGAGAAAGTAAGCATGTGAAGATCGAACACTAAACACTTCACTGCTCAAAAATCATGTTTTTTGTCCTTTTGTGAGATGATTTTATTATTCTAAAGGTCATTTACAGTTTATTTCATGTGTGTTTGAAATGGGCAACACAGTTTATTTACATGAAACATAATCGATTGCATATACATATTTTCAAACTATAGTTAGCACAAAATGATAACAAAATGTATTTTTATTTTGTTCTTTGCATTAAGTCACATGCCTGGTCTACTAATTTACTTTCTTTTTATTCCAAAATCAAGTCCACTTATGACATGATTACAAAATGTATCTTCACACTTTAGATGCCATTACAGCAAAACCCTTGGCTGGAAGTAGCCCAGCTTATAAATGCTGTTGCTAGCAATGGAACGCCCTCAGTCTTGAGAGCAGTGGCAAAAAATAATGTACTGGCATCTTAAAAATCTGTTGCATGAAATTCAATTAAAATGTCAGCTGTGGGAAACAAAATATTCAATTCAGCTGGCATCAATAAGAGTGATGAATCACTTTGAATTAATACAAAAATGCTCTTTAGAAGTTGACTAGTATTTCTGTGTCACTACAGTAGCTCCTAGCACCACCAGTTGGAATCGTAAAAATTGTGACTGTTTACGCACAGGTTTCCAGAAGACGCCCCCTCAAACAGATAGTCCCACCCTAGTCTAATACCATTGGTTGAGCTGAAACAAATCATATTCTTCTGAACTTTCAATTCATTAAAGAATCTTTAAAAAATGCATCACAGTTTTCACAATAATATTAAGAAGCACAACTGTTTAACAATGATAATAATAAGAAATGTTTCTTGAGCACCATCATTAGGCATATTAGAATGATATGAAGGATCTGAAGGATCACGTGACACTGACGACTGTAAAGCTGACTGAAAATACAGCTTTAACATCACAGGAATAAATTACATTTTAAAAAATATTAAAAAAGAAAAGAGTTATTTTAAATTGGAATAATATTTTACAATATTACTATGCATTTTGATCAAATAAATGCAGCCTTGGTGAGCAAAAGACATTTTTTGAACAGTTGTGTATTCCAACAAATCATTGCTAACGTATAAATTAATTTAATAATGTATTGTCATTCGTCTAGGTTGACGCACTCCTGCGCAATAGCATCAACCCCGTCAGTCTGCCCTCATTGTCAGCGATTGTTACTTACAATGACACAGTGCTGTGGACGGGGAACTTCGGCAAAAGAAATGGAAGTGATCCTAACTCTGCACCACCAAATGAATACACCATTTACAGGTACATCATTATATAATACATTTTATAAAAAATATGTATAAGATATTTAAAAAATACATGTTTATATTTATCTGATATACATTGTTTGGACTTGCATTCAACCTTATGGTTGACAGGACATATGATCAATTTTCCTCTGCATAGCCAGCCCATTCTCACCCCCAAGGCGTCACTTAACTGACGCCTTGGGAAGCATTTGGACATGCTTCAATATCTGACGCTTTAGGCGCCCTTTAGCGTCAGTTAGATGACGCCATAGGATAGCGTGTACCCTACCCCCACCCCACACCTAAACCTAACCGCGTCCTCTAACAGACGCTTTCCTTTAGCGTCAGTTAGATGACGCCGTAGGATCGCGTCATGTAAGTGACGCTAAAGGGCACCTAAAACGTCAAATATTGAAGCATGGTCAAAGGTGACGCCTTGGGGTGAGAATGCGTTGGCATAGCACACAGATCGCACTCATATGAAGGAGTCTGTCATGTAGAGGGTTGACATTATCACCAAATGCCAGCTAAGTGTCTGTGTGCTCAAATTAAGCTCTTGAGGGCCCTTCACTCGGACCCATATAGCTACAATTATTCAAGCATCTATTATATGTTGAATTGATGAAGCACACATTTCCACATTGAGGCCAACTGTGCGCTTAGATTGATTTAAACAGTCCGAATCCACTTCTAATTTGCTAATTTCGAATTCTAATTTGCTCACTTCTTTGCTCACTAATTTGTGGAGCTGTCATTTCAAGCAATACAGCTTAATTGTGTTGCCATTTCAAAGTGGACAAAATCAACCTTGTTTATGTTGAAAGCCAAGAACTCAATCAATGTTTTCGTAAAAAAAACAAAAAACATATACTACATACACTCACCTAAAGGATTATTAGGGACACCATACTAATACTGTGTTTGACCCTTTTCGCCTTTTGAACTGCCTTAATTCTACGTGGCATTGATTCAACAAGGTGCTAAAAGCATTCTTTAGAAATGTTGGCCCATATTGATAGGATAGCATCTTGCAGTTGATGGAGATTTGTGGGATGCACATCCAGGGCACGAAGCTCCCGTTCCACCACATCCCAAAGATGCTCCATTGGGTTGAGATCTGGTGACTGTGAGGGCCATTTTAGTACAGTGAACTCATTGTCATGTTCAAGAAACCAATTTGAAATGATTCGAGCTTTGTGACATGGTGCATTATCCTGCTGGAAGTAGCCATCAGAGGATGGGTACATGGTGGCCATAAATGGATGGACATGGTCAGAAACAATGCTCAGGTAGGCCGTGGCATTTAAACAATGCCCAACTGGCACTAAGGGGCCTAAAGTGTGCCAATAAAACATCCCCCACACCATTACACCACCACCACCAGCCTGCACAGTGGTAACAATGATGGATCCATGTTCTCATTCTGTTTACGCCAAATTCTGACTCTACCATCTGAATGTCTCAACAGAAATTGAGACTCATCAGACCAGGCAACATTTTTCCAGTCTTCAACTGTCCAATTTTGGTGAGCTCTTGCAAATTGTAGCCTCTTTTTCCTATTTGTAGTGGAGATGAGTGCTACCCGGTGGGGTCTTCTGCTGTTGTAGCTCATCCGCCTCAAGGTTGTGTGTGTTATGGCTTCACAAATGCTTTGCTGCATAACTCGTTTGTAACGAGTGGTTATTTCAGTCAAAGTTGCTCTTCTATCAGCTTGAATCAGTCGGCCTATTCTCCTCTCAACAAGGCATCAACAAGGACGGTATAGTGCTGTGCTGTGTTTAGGCCAGATTAATTCTAAAGGTTCTGAGGGTTGGCAGTTGCATGATATGGTCTTGAATACAGATGACAAGGCGGCTGGTTTAATCAGATCTTGAAAATATATTGGCATTTCCTTTATTTTTTAAGAAGTAGTAATTTCTACGTGCTGTCAATACTAAGCTGTTTCTCTCTGTTTTAGTTGTGTAAAGATCATCTTGTACATAACTCAGCTACTGTTTTCAAGGCTCAAACTCTTGTAATGGATTGTAGACTGTTTTGGTCTGTATTATTTGCATGGATGAGAATAGGATTTATGAGGGCATAGTTCAAAAGACTGAAATTGTGCTCATAAAATAATCAAGGCCAGTCTCAGTGTCGAGTTCTGACGCACTCAGGGTTGGCCAGTCAATCAACGGCACACAGTGAAAACAACCAAACAAGTCAGGACAAAGCCAACAAGGCATAATATAACCGCAAAATCATTTGGAATTATGATATTTGTATTGAAATATACTCAAAAATATAAAACCTCCACTATGTCAGAACAAGTTTACCCTTCCTTTACTTGACTGATGACTAGAAATACAGTCAAGGTTTTTTTTTTTGGATGACATGCTTCGATGTTCAAAGTTGCATTATACTTCACTTGATGCCTAACCATTTGATTGCATTTTCATGATAAATAATTAAATTTCTTTGCTGAACTTCCAGCACCAATGCAAAAGCTGATGTTATTTTCTCATAGCTTGACTATTTCCATGAATAATAAAAATCTTATTTTAAGCACATTTGAATAAAGAATCTGCTGTGTTGTCGCCCAGGATTGCCAGTATATCAAAGATCTTTCCCACCCTGATGCTGTATCGATTGTGGGAAGATGGCAAGGTGGGCTCCCTGGATGACCCCCTGGAGAAGTATGTGGACAACTTCACCATTAAAAACCCCCTTGGCAAAAGCAGAGACTCTGAGCTGAAATACGTCACGGACGGGCTGATCTTCCTTGACAGTGGCGAGGTTCAAATCAGATCGTCCTCGGTAACGTTAAGGAGAATGGCCAGCCAGCTTTCTGGTGAGTTTCCAGCTTCCAGTTTTATGCCAAGAAGCAATTCCAAGGTTCACTGATATGTGAAAAAAACACAAGTGTCTGTTTACAGCATTTAAATACCTGTAACAGCAGGTCAAAATGAATTTTCTTTGAGCTCAGCTTTGGGCCCGCTGTTTGGCCTCATTTGCTGGTAATTCTAATGGACATTTAGTGGAACAAAATCAAGCATTCAGAATTGAAAACAAAACTCATCTATTCCATTTTCACAGTAATCTACCTGTAGCGACTGGCCAAATATGCATTCACGTACTTGATGTGTGTGTGATTACTGTTCTCACTATAAATACACAGGCTGGTAAAGATGAAAAGCTGATATAAATTTAAATCTTTTCAGTATATTTAAATATAACACATATATACACAACAGAAATAAATGCAGGCAATTAAAAAGTTAGAAATTTAAAAGTTAAAATGCAATTAAAAAAGGTAAGTTCAACTAAAAAATGTTTTGGACTAAAATTTTGTTTTACTTTTACAATAAAAAATGTTTGGTATATATTTCATTTTTGACATGGACACTTGTGCACGATTTTACCAACACGTTCCTGGATCAACAAATTTTGTGAATCCTGGGACAACATTCACATCCAAAAACATTGTCTGACACCTACGCCCAACTTTAACCCTACCCATAACTTATCTCTAATATCAAAGGGAAACGATAAGTGTTGTTGGAAGACTAAACTCTAAACATTAACTCACATCATTAACCCAGTCCCTCAAATCTGATTAGTTTATTGGAAGATTGTTCCAGGATTAACATGTTCTACATGGTTAAATCACATTCACCAGCTGAACATAATATCTTTCAATGTATAACCGAATTAATAGTGTGCATAAACTCAAGCATTCGACACATGCCCACTAGAAATTTTCATTTTTGTCCAGTGGCTGCACTGTTTCTCTTCAAAAGTTGACTAATGAATATGTAACGTAAAAAACGAAGATTAAAAAATGCTGATGCTGTGCCTTAAAGAGTCGAATGTAAAATCCTTCGCCCACTAACTCGCAAGCTGCTGCTATTTGTGTCCAATGTTTCTTGTAACTGTAAATACATCACATACAAGACATTAAAACAACACAATTAAGCATTTTTTCTCCCATTCTGTTTTTTTTTTTTTTTTTTTTTTTTTTTGCAGGTCTACCCCGAAGGCTCCGTGGAACTAACTTGCTGTGGAAAGGGAAGACAAAGGCTGCAATCAGTCTCCTGCAAGATGATGTGCTCATCGCAGATCCAGGGACCAAGTAAGTTCCACCACATTAATCTAGCTGATTTAAGTAACCAATTTGTTCCTGTCAGCTACTTTAAATGAACCTCATTTTGTGTACATCTCAATAGCTTTTTGTGTGTGTGTGTCTGGAAAGGATCATGATAATAACTTTTCTGTTGCCTCCTAATAACTTGCCTTTGAGGTAAAAAAAAAAAAAAAAAAGACATAACATACTATTCTCCTCACTTTTCTTTGTTAGATGTCACTACAGCAATTTGGCCTTCTCTTTGCTCGCCCATGTCCTGTCTGAGAGAATTGTGGGTATTAATTACCAGCGATGGGTCACAGATAACATTCTGGGCAGGTTGGGAATGGAGGACACAGGGTTTGACATCAGCCCTGCTATCCAAAATCAAATGGCTGTCGGTGTGTACGCCAGTGGCCAAATGGCGCCTCTTTATGACTTGGGGTGGTACCGCCCCTCGGGCCAGATGTATTCGACGGCGGCTGACATGGCTAAGTTATCCATGATGTTGCTGGGAGCCTATCACCGCAAGCTTTTGGAGCCCGACACCTTAAAAATTATGCTAACCCCACTGTTCCGCTGCGACAAAGACTACTTCGCCAATCGCACAGGAACGCCGTGGGAAGTGAATGAACAGATGGGATATGAGGTGCTACGCAAGGATGGTGATCTGGACGGCTATTCCGCTACATTCTCTCTGGTTCCTCGGCTTAAGCTAGGCTTGGTTGTGCTAATGGCGGGCACACGACCGCAGAACCAGGATGTAGTGTCGAAGGCATACTCTTATATCATTCCCGCCATGCAAAGGGCTTTTAGGGAGGCCAAGCGGTTTCTTATTCCTCCCCCCAATCCTGCTCCCTACGTGGGCTTTTACACTTACGGCAACATCACGTTTTATGAGATTAAAGCGGGGCCAGATGGTGTCTTGATCATGCAGCAGTTTGGACCTCAAATTGAAGATCTCATCCCTGAGCGTTACCGGACCATAAAATTGAATTACTTAGTGGACCGAGTCTTTAAAGTTGTGTTCGAGAAAGAATATCCCTGTGTACTGCTTGTCAACACCGCATCCGTGTCCCTCGAAGCCCAAGATGGACAGCTTTTTAACTTTTATGTCTTTGACAAGAAGGGTGTGTCTCCCGGATTCGACGCTCCAGGGCTCAACACATATAATGTGATCCGGATATCCCGCAGACCCACGTTCTCCAACTAAGGATGAAATGGGTTCTGAAAAACTGTGATCTGAGACATTGGGGCTTTATATATGAGCGATTGGGTCAAATTACTGTAAAACAGAGTAGGGTTACCACTGTCTTTGTTTGTCCTGTATAGCTTGTTTAACATATGAGGAAATTTCAGTATAATCTATTTTTGCACATGCGTTCATGTCCTTGTACATAAAGATGTCCTTATATTTTCACATTTTTCCTTATTATATAACTTGTAATTGTACAGTTCCTGTCAAAAGTTTGGAATCATTACAATATAAGTTTAACCGAGGTTGCATTTATTTAATTTAATCAAAAATACAGTCAAAGCAGTAATATTGCAAAATATAATACAAAGTTAAAGAACTGTTTACTATGTGAATCTATTTTAAAATATGTATTTATTCCTGTGATGGCAAAGCTGAGTTTTTGAAACTCCTTTCAAGACCTTGGCAGGTACTGTATTTAAACCTCTTTGTGTTGTGTACAGTTACCTTTGTAAGTTATTAAGGCAATTTTCTGAATCTAACATGAATCATTTTCAATTAAAACAACATCATACAAACAATGAGATTTGTCTAACTAAGTCACTGTCACATTTTAATTTTCTGTGCCATTGCAACTGAATATGCAGAAATAAATTCAGTTTCCAATGCTTAGTCTTTTATGCAAAATAAGCCTTGTCCTATCCTATGAATGAATATTAATGTATAGACAATTTAATCATCAAAAGGTCAGCATGACAATCAATTTACAGTAATTGTGAATTATAGACTGTGGTAAAACCAGAATTCATAAGATAATTGTAAATTCTTAAAAATGCTTTTAGACTTTGTAGCCTACTTGTGACTACACTTGAAAATTTTTCCTGATTGACATTATATGAGAGACAAGAATACAAGGCAATTCAATACAATTTATTTACAAAAAATAAAACAAGCAATATTCATAATACATGCATAATACATAACACTTAACATACCAAAATAAACCCCGGTATCTGCAATTGGAATTTAATTCTGTATGGAGGGATTATTGAGTCATTATTGAGAAAAATAAATGTCTTAATCATCATCATCAATCGGCTGCGAACAGGGTAGGTTTGCAGTCGGTCACCAATTTTCTCCATTCCCTGCGATCTTTGGCAACTTCCCTCAGTTTGTTCGCTGTAGGTACGTCCTTGTTGATGATCGAGCTCACCAATGTATTGATGGTACAGTTTATGTGGTCTTCCTCTGCCTCTTTTGCCGTGACGTTCTTGAGGTGCATACAACGTATTTGTTTATTAAGTCGTTCTACAAAAAACGAAAAGTCTTAAACGAAAACTAAAAGTCTAAATTTGAAAGCTGAAAATGAATTTGGTATTCAGGATTGGGCATTTCTATTCAGGATTCTATTGTGCGACAGAAACTCCCGTGGTTATGACACGATCCTATTTTTACAAAAACGGCTTCGGGGTCGACAAAGTAATGTAGCATTTTATACATTGTCTTTAGAAAAAAATAATGGACAAATGAAGTCTTTAAACGCCTCAGATGTAAAGTTATTCGCTGTCAAAGTGACGCCAAAATGAATGGGAGTCAATGGGATGCTAACAGGCTAAATGGCTAAATGAGCCAAAATACTAAATAAATCCTAAATATAAAATGCCGTATCCTAAATATCAAATGCCCAAGCATAAATACCAAATGCCCAATCCTAAATACCAAATTAATTTTCGACTTAGACTTTTAGTTTCAAATTTAGACTTTTAGTGTTTAAAACTTTTAGTTTTCAATCTGCCCCAATAATCCCTCCATAATTCTGTGGCATAGGGTAAAATAGACGATTTGGAAAGACATGCCCTCTAAAACTGAATTTATAACAGAACAAATGAAAAAAGTGTACAAAATTAATATACTCACAAATTATTTTTGTCATATGAAGTTGGTGTTACTGGAATATTTTCTCTCTCTCTCTCTCTCTCTCTCTCTCTCTCTCTCTCTCTCTCTCTCTCTCTCTCTCTCTCTCTCTCTCTCTCTTCTATAAATTCTATAAATGACTGGTATCCGAGACAGCTATACCCATTCATCTCTCATTAATGTCACAGCAAGGTGAAGCTGCTAGATGAAACTGTCAACAGGCAAGGTCACTAAAATGGAAAAATAAACAAATAATGAGCAATATTTCTTGCTTTTAAAAGTAAAGCCACAGTTCTCCAATGTTATCAAGTAACAATCAAACGATACAAGAAATATTCTATTTCTCATGATATTGAATTCTAGTGAAGCACTTTTGGCAAAAACATTTCAATTGCAACATTTAAGCCAGAACCCCTGCACACAGCATTCTGACAAGCCCCTGCAGTTAATTGAAACATAAGACATTCTTTTCCCTAATTGTCGGTAAAGATTAATGTTCCGTGCAGCACTTATTGTTCTATTTTCACTATTTTTTCGATGACTCCCTTCTGGCACAAGCATTATACTTCCTCTTCTCTCGAAATGGATCACGGGAACAATGTGCATGTTTGCTTCTGTTCATGTACCCATGACACAAATGACAAAAAGTACAACCCGTTCCTAACAAGAATAACGGCACTCATTTGGAACGGATACTGTGCATTTTTAGAACCATTAATGCAGTTTTTTTTACAGTAAGAGGTGCAGGACAGACGTCAGATAGATAGACGTCAGATAGATAGACGTCAGATAGATAGATAGATAGACAAGCACATCTGCCCACAGTTTGGTTAATATACAATCAATACAATCTACATCAATAGATCATTTAAATGTATGAAGCCTAATTTGAATGAAAAAAAAAAGTCTCGAATAAACAAAGAGGAATAGTTGCTTTCATTCAATATGACACAATCTGAATTATACAAAACATTTGAAACAGATGCATGGCAACAATTTTGTCATTAATGAAACAATGACCTACTTTAACATTGACCATGAATGGCTAGATAACAAGTGGTTTTTCTGCAAAATTGTACAGCGTATTATTTTGGCCGTTCATATTTTCTTATTTTATTTACAGAATAGAGTGACAGGGACAGTGCACTTTAATAAACATTTATGTCAATGTGCCGGTTAGTCCCTGGGCAGGTGTAATGTCAGATAAAATACTTTAAAACAATTCAACAATCCGTATACATATAGTAGACCACATTTTAGCACACATAAAGGACATTGAAACAAGGAAAACAAAACATAAAACATGGCAAAGCATGTTTAGTGTTCAAAACTATCTGCTTGCTTTATCTCGATTCTAAGCGGTAAGCTTGTAATAATGTTTTTCATTCCAGTTATACTGGTGGATTTCAGAGGGAGATTCAAGCATGTCTTTGTGTCATTACATCACATAAAGAAGAGTCTCTGCTACTATAAGTTATATTGCATGTGGGCGGATGATGGAGGTGGAGATTTATATATTTTCTCACAGAACTTAATAATTATAAATTATTCATAATTAAATATCAATTTGATGTCGGATCCAGAAAGGTTCAAACGACAAACACCAGTTACAACTAGAGATTCACCCGTTGATAATGCAAAAGATTTCGGAGTGGCTACAGAAAAAAGACTGCAACCGGACCCATGCGAAAACAAGGATAAATATCGGAAGGACATTACATGTAGTCACGCAATGCTGACGTTGTTAACATTAACAATTTGAGAACAAAGTATAATTTGCAATTTGGTTTGCAAGTTAATTTGTTTTGACGTGATATGAGAAGCGATCAATTTACTGCGATTTTTGTTTTCCAATTAGTTGGTCAGAACAAAAGTGGATGTTAAGCCAAGTTCACACTACAGGATTTTAAGCCCGATTTGCAAATCGTTGAGCTCGCTGACAGGTCAGGGTGTTACCGCGTGCAAATCGCGGGGTCAATCTGTTAGTATGAAAGAGCCTACAACGCAGCAAAGATGCTCGCAGACGCCTCGCATCAGAGCCCAGAAAAATATCTTGCATGCTAGATATCCAGAGCTGTCGTGCGGCTCAACCTCAATTATTTTTTCTTTTTTTGTTTAGTTTTGACACTAAACACACGCAACATTTGGGTTTGTCCATATTTGACCCAAATTTGAGTTAAAACAACCCAGCATTTTTTAGAGTGTGAATCTCTACAATGCTTTAGTACGGTCAAAATAATTATATAGCCCTACAAAAGAGTAAACACCACAAGCAAAGTATACTTAGAATACTTGATTACTTTTATCTTGATCAAAAGATTAAGTACAAGTAGGATGAATTCAGATTGATCGGGACACTTTGCGATGACTCAGGAAAAGTGTCCCTAAATCAAGCTGAATTTATTCATCTTTTCTCAAATACAAGCATTCATTCTCCTGTTCCCACCTGATGATGATAATGACAAGAGGAAGTGGGCTGCCCACGCTCCTGCTCTTGGAGATCAGTGGGTGGGTCTTTGGGGATGACAGAGAAAGGCATGGAGGAGCTCGTCGACAGGCGACTGAACACCAGTGCTTGAAACCGTTCTCGGAAACGACTGGAAAGCAGGTTGTAGATGATGGGGTTAACAGCAGAGCTGAGGTAGAAGAGCACTCCGGAGATTATGTGCACGTATTCGAATATGTTATGCATGTGGTCTGTCCAACTTGTGATGAAGCTCCACAACAGTCGGTCGATGTGAAACGGAGCCCAGCAAATGGCAAACACTAGAACCACCACGACTATTGGAAGAGAGAGAGAAGAAAGCAAGGAAATCAATGTTACAATCAACTATGAAAGTGAGCCATCAGATCCAAAGACTAGCCTACTCTATGGCTATCATGTCCAGAAATCTACTGGCATCAATTCTCATTGGTCAGTCGCAGTCAGATAGTTATTTTGGCCAGAAACATACTTTACGCAAATAAATATGCAAGCCCAGCTTTTTAGTTTTTAGCAACCTAAGATGGACTTTACACTCTGTTGCGTTCCAGAATAGGTATGTTAACACACACTCATTTTCTTCAATCAGAATTAATCCAATCCTAATTTCAGAAAAACTCGTATTTCTGAAAATTTACTAAACGTCGCAATCCGATTCACATATTAATTTACATGTGCATACATACAGTATATTCCAAATAACAAATCCACGTTCAGAACTGTGGAAAGCCACATTTTTTAAGCACAAATTTAATAAATACTCAGCCTCACCCACTAACCATTTCGTATTAATACTGAAAATATTCAGTTATAGTAAAACTGAAGTGTTGGATCATACAAGGTTTGATTCAGAATTAAAAACCACTTTTTAAAATGTATTTTATCAGTACAAAAAATATCTTCTATGAAAGAGAATATTTAGTCAAAATGCAAGCTTAGAAATTTCCCTTCCAGGACAACAAAGGCAATGCTAAAGTATCTTTCAAACACTCAAGTACTGAAAATCCTGTGGCAATTGATGAGGTTATAGTTATATTTGGGTCTAAGTGAATAGCTCTAATGATGAGTAATTTGTGCCATTGCAGTGTGTAATTGCATATAGACATGCTCTATAAATGCAAATAAAAGTGTCTAGGTCCTTTTCATTGTGTAGGTTTACAGCCATTATATGACAAGTGGCAGAATAGCATCATCGCCATTAAGGAAAGGC